AGGCAGGTTGCCTCAATGTTTCTCTCCTTCTAAAGCAGGAGTTAAGGTGCTAAATCTCTTGTCTGGTAGGGCCACATCTCCTTTTACAAGACCATTCACCAGCAAGCAAGCAAACAAACAGTCCAGTGGTAACTCCTCCCTTGAACTCTCTCCAAATCCTGTGCTTTTGTATACTGACATCATGTGAGTGGACATATATCTAAGAGTCCATTAGGAAAGAGATCAGCAGAGAACATGTCACATGATTAACTTTGGTGAGTAAAATCCAGCCCACAGGCTGTTCACTGCAGGTTAAAATTGAGGAGTCATTAACTTTGAGGATTGCCTCAATTTCAGAGACACACAACAGTTGAAGCACTAAGCCATATGACTGCATTTGCTTCAAGAACCATGCCACAACCATGTCTCTGATGGTCTGAAGTCGAACCCAGAGCACTTAAAGAGCTCTGAAGTTTATAAAGAAACCAGATTCAACCTGAAAGGATACACAAGCAGACAAAGTCCTGAAGCCCACCCAAACCAGTCATAAGTTGAAGAAGGAAAACAAGGTTCCACCATATGGGATTCAGGCAGCCATCTGGTGAGCATCTAGCAACTAGAAAAGGCAACCCTCCTACAGCAGGCTGCTAAACCACTGACTCAGTGACACATTTATAGAATAATTAAAAGTAATTTCATAAACAAAACATACATGGTTAGCTGTAGCTCTACATCTAGCAACTGGTTCACCTGTTAGTGTGCTATGTGGATTCCTTGGTATTAACAATGTAACTGAGCTCACTTTGCTTTATTTCTCTTCCAGGAATTACAGGTTTGAGTCCTTTTGCTTACCTACTCAAAATCACAAGACTAAAACTTTTGTTTTACATCCCTAAGGCTCTCCATCAAATTGGCTTGAAATTTATTTCCTCCCCCACCCGCCCCATCAGGAATTTTTGAACAGTTTTTAAAAATACTTAAGAATTATCATGACTATGGGAGATAGCTGCCAGGTGTAAGCAGAATTTCTGTGTAGTCATTCATACATAACTCATAAGTACAGAAAGATTTTATAGCCTATGTACTGCACAGTGCAACATCTTGCTTTCTATGGACAATGATTATATTCTTCTTTTTCATTTTTCAGTTTCATCTTAAGCCAAGCTTGACTGACAATGCATCAAGCCTGCTGACAACTGGACCAGAGACTCCTTTTAGAGAATTAACCTTTTAAAAGCTTATGTAACACCACTGAATGCACAAAAACACCTGAAGGCACAAAGGCAACCATGAGCATCATTCGCTTTCAGAGACATTTTCTTAACTGGTTTTACAAGCAATTTTTTTTCTTCTCTTTGCCTTTATTCCCCAGGTATTCTACTTTTGTTATGCTAGCCTATTGCTTTAGGAAAATCACAAGTTGGATTTTTGGTCCTTTTGTGGTGTTTTTTTGTGGTGGAGGATGGGTCTGGAGCACTTGTTTTTTGCTTTAGGGGCAGGACGGGTGGTGGGGTGGTTTTGTTTTGTTTTTTTGTTGAGTTTGAGGGTTTTTTTGACACCACTATTCAGAGTTTTAGATTTAGCTATTCTAAAAAGAGGAGAGGGAAGAAGGGAGAAGAAAACCACAACAAGCAATCAAGTTTTAAAATTCTATTAAGAAAAAAAAAAGACTAAGGAAAATCAAACTTGCTAGATGACATTTTTCCATGCCATTGCCAAGATTGAGGTTATACTTATTCTTCCAATTCTACTGCTTTAGATACCAGAAACGTTCCAAAAGAAGCAGAATCATAGAATGACTTAGGTCAGAAAGCATCTCCAGGAGTCTCTAGTCCTGTCCCTGCCCCACTCAAAACATGGCCAGCTCAGCTGAGGCTGGCTCAGAGCTTTTTCAAGTCAAACTCTGAATACCTTGCACAGAGGTATTCCAAAACCTCTGCGGGTCCCTGTTATTACAGTATGTGACCACCCACACTGTGACAATTATTTCCCTTGTATGTAATTTGAATTTTTGACATTCTAACCTGTGTACATTGTCCCTTACTCTATTACTGCACACCTCAGAAGAGTCTCACTCCACCTTGTCAATTGCCATCTTCAAATACTATATAGGAAGGCATAAAATCTCATCTTAGCCCCCTCTTTGTTAAAGTGAAACAAATTCAAGAGTTCCACTTGCTTTCCAATTTCAAACCAAACTGGGGTGATTCTGTACTAAGTGAAACTCACCTTTTTTATAGGCACATCCTTGGCAATAGTGAGACCCTGGCTGATGAACAGAACTCTTACAAATCCGGCATATTGCAAATTTGTTCTTTCCGTAAGGATCAAACCTGGAAAAATGGAAAAGCATTTTATTTATACACCTTGAAATAAACTAATCCCTCTGCTTCATCCTAGAAAGTCTAAATCTGAGGGCACAGACAAACTACAGCAAAAACCTGTGATTTTGAAAAAAGACATAAAAGGGTTATTTCTAATAGGCAGCACAAAGTCTACAGAGCAGCTCCCACTTTCTCCATTAAAGAGAGATTTCTCACATTATGAACTTCACAAAAGCAGATCTAAAAATTTGTCTTTTTATTAAGATACTAGACTATTTTGAACTTAAATACCTTCCAAGAGTTCCCTGCCCCCTTGCATAACTGAAAATCCCTCACATGTTAAGAAAGATTGTGCTGGTAATCCTAGCACAGAAAACCAGCCTTCCAGTCTGCTCTCCTAAAAAAACACCAAACTCTAGCAGTTTTAGTGAGAACTGCAGTAGAATAGTTGCTCACACTCTGATTCAGCAGTAAGCACCCGTGAAACATGTAAGGACATACTTTTAACAATTAGCCAAGAGTCATAATCCCCACAATGTGTTGTTGGTCATGGGGGTTTTTTTTGAACTACATTTTGGACAAATTTTGAACATTTGCCCAGGTATACAGGAAACTCAGTTACAGCAACCTGCCTTTTTCAGTCCAAATCAGTATTAAACACTAACCTTGCCTTTTTTGAGGTCAATGCCTTGTTTTCATTTAGCTTACGGCCACCACTTTCTACAAAAAGAATAAAATCATAGTTTAATAAATTTCCCAGTCCCAAGCATGCCTAAAAGAGCTTAGTTTACAGCTTTTGCATATAAACTCAGAAAGAGGAATAAAACATACAACACAGCATTAAAGCACAGGACAGCAGAATATTTTATACTGTGGTTTGTTGTCATATTATCATTCTGTATAATGAAAAAAAAAACCCAAACAGTTCAACACTGAAGAGCTCAGGGTAAATAAATTCCCAGGGCATTAAATTAGGTAGGAAAACTACAGGATTTAAAAATTAACCTGCTTAACTATTTCAAACTTCAGTCTTACGATCCTAAGTTAGCTCAGGTGCCCGACTGGCTTTAAGACACCTTAAAAGCCAAGTGCTTAACGTGCCCAAAATTACCTGTAGTGTTTCTTGCACCATCTTTCCACGTATCGGGAGTGATGACGGTACCGAGTTTCTTCTCGCCTACGAACGTCACAAAGTAAAAAAATTAAAACTACAACATGTTGATAATGACAACAAGCGCTGCCTGCGGGGGGACGACACAGGACAAGACACGACACACACAAGACAACGACACGCACAAGACAA